ATGCCTCAGGAGAAAATAGACCAGAGAGGACAGAGGGCTAGGGGGTGGGGGTGAGAGGTAAGCTCATCTGGTAGTAAGAGCCCTGAACCAACCTCAGTGGATACCCCCTCTCTGCCTCAGGCCCTTGGAGCCAGTGGCCAAGTATGGAGTGGGATGTGTGAAGTGGCCCCTCTCACACAGAGAATAGGGGGCAGAGATGGTCAACATGGGCCTCACCACACCAGGGAAGGGAACAGGCGCAGGAGGAAGCTTGGACAGAAGGCAGGGGTTTGCTAAGGGGCCTCGAATTGGGGGCCAGGAAGCCAGAGAATGATAGAGGGCTTGCATGTCGCTCTCCTTGCCTTGTAGCTGTCCTGGTGGCAGCTGGGGTGGAGCTGGGAGAGGAGGGAGAAGGACAGGGAGGGGGACTGCCCAGCTGGAAGAGGCCTTGTCTAATTGTGCCTGATTAGTAGAGAGGAAGAGAACAGGGCGAGTGATTAATAGTCTCGGCAGTCACCAGCATGTGCAGAAGGAGGGGTGGAAGGGGGAGGGAAGTCAGAGCCCAGAGGGAACGGAGACAGTGAAGCGCCCACAGGTCCCTGGTCACCTGCCGCTCTAGGGGCTGCCTGGACCCCACAGAGAGGGGCAGGGTCCTACCCCTGTCTCCTCAAGGATTCTCCTTCTCCCCTGTGCCTCAATTTTCCAGACAATAGAATGGAAGAGAAAAGACCAAGGCCACATCCTGCACCTGGGAAGAAAGGTGCACTGCTCATGTGGTGTTTCCAAACACCTCGATGTCCCCATACACAGGCTCTATCCTCAGCTCAACCTGGGACCTCAGCCCAGAGATTGGATGCCAGGCTTCCGATCACAGCCCGCAGCTGTCATCTTACGTCCTTTGATACCAGTTGGCACTCCCAGCCCCACCCAATCGGGCCGTCTGAACCTCGTTCCCAGGACCAGAGCTGCTCTGTCCAATACTGCAGCCACGAGCCACATGAGGCTATTTGAATGGAACATTCATTTTCTCTGTCACACTAATCACATTTCAGATGCTCAATAGCCGGGGAGGCTAGTGACTACCATGTGGGGCAGCACATTTCTGTCATCACAGGAGTCCTGTGGGAGAGTGGGGATCTCAAGTGTGTGCTCACGCTCCTGCACCTGTGCCCGGGTGCATGCATGTTTGGGAGGGTTGGCTAGCATGGGAATGCGATAATAGGGGAGAGGGGAGTGCGGGCCTTAGGGAGAGAAAGGAGGGAGGGCTAGGTGAAGGAGTAGCGAAGATGCCAGTGTCTGGGTCAGAACACGGCAGGCAGTGCTGGGAACAGTCAGGTTAAAGAGAGCCAGGAGTTGGGTGGTGGCATTTTAACAGCTGACACTTCCCGAGTGCACACTAGGAGCCTGCCAGGCAGTGTGCTAAGCCACCTCTTTAATCGTCACCGCCACCCACATTTTTTAGGTTCGAATATTCTATTGAATGGCTACAGAATCTGATGCTGAGGGAAGCTTTTTTGACTCCTCCAAGGGCACACAGCTTAAAGGGTAGAGCTGAGGTTCGAATCCACACGGTCTGGCTCCAGAACCCACACACTTGACTGCCATACCGTGCAGTCCCCAGCTGAGAGGAGATGCTGAATCTTAGAGTCATCCTTGCATTTTACAGCTAAAGAAATGACGCCTAGGAAGAAAGAGTGATTTCTGCCTTCTAGTAAGTGGGCAGGCTGAGAGCAAGCCGCAGTGGGGAAAGTGTAGATGGGGCTTGGAGCCTTGGGGCGGGGGCCCAGATGGCGGAAGGAATCAGGGAGGAAGGGGAGAATATAGGTGGTGGTGAAATTAGGAGGTGGAGGTGGAAGCGGCTTGGTATGAGACTGAGTAAGGAGAGGGAAGGGAAAGAAGAGAAGAGCCAGGTGGGCTAGGTGGAGGGCAGCATGGGCGAAGAGGCCAGAGTATCCTCACCATCCAGGAGCCATCTTCTCTCTCTCCCCTTCACTTCTCCTCTCCAAACCTCGTCCAGCCAGCGTGACTCATCCTTTAACCTTCCCAGTTCTCTTGGCCCAGAGTAGCCTCCCTCTCTGAACTCAGGCTCTTTCCATCCAGGTACCTAGTTTGGCAATTAATCCTGGCACCTCAGGACACCGCTTGGTGTGCATGGCTGGTTAACGCTTGCATGGTTGGTTAAGCTTTTGAGTGGGCCTGTTCCCCGTTCCACCACAAGACTGGAGGCTGCTTGAGGACAGGGACTGGGCAGTAGGACTTCCCTTCTTTGTTCTCCCTGCAGCACCTGGCAAGGAGCCTGGCCCAGGGTGGTGCTCAGAACACCCTGTTGATTAACTGAGTAAGTAACTGATTAGGAGTCAGCGAGGGGATATCAGGAAGTGTGGGGGTGGGGTTGTGGGGGGGGGGAAGCAATCGCAGTGGTAACAGAAGCGAGAGCAGCAGCTTAGGGGACTGGGGGAGGGTGCATTACCCGGAGTAAAAATAGGCTGGAAAATGTGACATTTATTAACTTGGATTCCGGAGGAAAGGTCACAGCAGAGTGGGGAGTGGAAAGAAGGAAACAGGAAAAGCAACACAAAACACACAACAGGCCCCTTCCTTACCCAAAGCGTGTCTCTGTCACCGGGCCATCTCACCACTCACACCCTGGGGCGGTTCTCCACCAACCGGGCCCTGGTACCCATCTCCCCCACCATCGACCCAAATCTCTATCATGGGTCCATGGTTCT